CCCACACACTCGCAGCGATTGTCAGAAGTGCGATATTCCTCATTTTTATATATTTTTTAAAATCCTTTATAATTTTCATTATTTAATTGCTCCTTCCTCTCTTCCTTGGCATGTTGTGAAATTTCTGATAGTTGGATAATAAACCGTTTTATTGTAATTTGTCTTTTTAAATTATTTTGAGTCGATATTAAAATTATATATATATATATATATATATGGGGAATATCGCGCTTCTGACAATCGCTGCGAGTGTGTGGGCTAAATTTGGAGAATCTGTGCTTCTCGTGTGGACAACTGTACATGGCCGGCTCATGCGTCGGAAAACCTTCTGATTTATTTGTGTACGCACCAGACGGAGAAACAAAAAATATCGTGTATCCACGAGCACTCCAATAAATAAATAGAATTGAACCAACACTTTGAAATGTTTTCCCGATGAAAACGAATAATAATAAGTTTCAATAAAAATGATAAAATGAAAATTTAATTTTATCATTACGAGTTTGCTTGAATTTCGTTTCTTCTGAGATCGCAGCAATGCGCGATGGGTAAGCTAGTACTATATAAATATAAAAAATTTTTTGTTTTATTAATTTCGAATACATATTATTTCGAAACCTTCTCATTGGCACCTTTATTAAATCGGCTCCTATGGTGGGGGCCACATTAGCCATACCCTAGTTACAGCTCTGGTGGCTAGTATTGGTGCTATTAAAATATTCAGGATTGTGGTATTTTGATAAAATTTTTTTAAAATGATCATTTGCAATCACTATGGAATTTTTTAAAATTTAAATTGCTGTTTTATTTTCAAAATATTAATTATATAAATTTTAAGTCTGTTTTATAATTTTTTCCAGGTAGTTAAGTTAAAACAAGTAGAACATACTTTGAATGAAAAGAAAATTTTACAAGCTGTTAACTTTCCTTTTCTTGTGAAATTACAATTTCATTTTAAGGTAATAAAGTATAAATCAACATTTTCAATATTAAGTTCTAATTATAAATAAAAACATTTGCTTATTTTTCATGTTTCCATCCTTCTTTGTTATAGGATAATTCTAACCTATATATGGTTTTAGAATATGTACCAGGAGGAGAAATGTTCTCACATCTGAGGAAGAGTGGCAGATTTAGGTAAAAATTTCATTCTGATTTAGTTTTTCTACTTGTTTTCAAAATACTTTAGAAAAAATGAAATATAAATGTCCAACATATTTTTAAATGAAAATGCATGTAACAGTTATTTTTTGATGATTATGTTCCACTCAATGATTATTGACTCCTAGTGGTTCTACAGATAAAATGATTTCCAAATTATTCTGAACATTTTAAATACATTATAGCTTTTTAAGACAATTTCTTATGTCTATAATGTTGTTTCTGTTATGTTTGATATTTAATATTATTTGTCTATTTTCCAATGGTTGTAATATGGTAAGAACTATTTAATATGTATTTCCTTCGGAATTAGCAAAAGGTTGCTGTTGAGAACAAATCATACAGGAGCACTGTCAATAAACCTACATTTTCCATTCAAAGTATTTCCATATAATTTGTTCTCAACAGCAACCTTTTGCTAATTCCAAACAAAATACATGTAATTAGGAGAACAGCAAGCAACCAAATTCTAACTATTTAATATCATTATAACAGTCTTTACAATAAAAAAAATTGTAAAGAACAATTTTTCAAATACAGTAGAGCCTCAAAAACGCGGCCTAATGTGGACTGAAGGGTGGCCGAGTTTGTGAAAATGCCGGGTTATCGGGAATGGGGTTAAAAAAACTAAGTATGAGTGTTTCCTCAGAAAATACTGTACTGTATTTGTATGTATTGTTTACTTGAGAATACAACATAGAATAAACTGCCCAAATACCCTTAAACAAAGGAAAAGTACGTCCTTTATGAAGGCATAGAGCCTTTACTACATAAAAATGAAAATTAATGAATACACTGTGTACAGTAATTTACCTGATAAGACAGACCCCAGAAAAATACTTTGAGGCATAATGCTGTCTATAATGAAAATTAATTAACTAAGGATTTTTTTGCCCTACCAGGGTGTGGCCGAGTTTTCGAGACTCTGCTTTATTGAGTTAAAAAATGTTTGACATTTTATTTGAACAGATTCATATTTTGAAATTATAATAAACTCCAATCTTTAACTTTGTCTCTCTGAATTCATTTTAGCACTGTGGAAACTGAAAGATAAATCAACTTTTTCTTATTGTATGATTTGGCTATAACAAGGTCCTCAAATTCTGGAAAGTCAGGAAAAATAAGTATTTTCCGAATGAAATACTATAATCAATTATTTTTATTTATTGTCATACATGTCATACTTAATTAAATTTTGGATAAAATGTGTTACTGCATTCTCACAGAAAGTTCTGTTCATCTTAATTTGAAACAGGTCCACTGTCTTATCACACTGGACCATTAGTATCTTGAATTATATGCAGTGCAGAACACACAAGTATGCTATACCAAAAGATAGTAGAAACAATACTATATGTACTGGCTATCAAAACTTCTCATGCTATGTTCAGTCACTATTTATGCATACTGGCAGTAATTTTTTTATAAAAACAGCACTGATAATCATAATTCAAGACTAAGGCACATGCCTGTGACAACTGTTGTAGACAATACTCATTTTATTATATCATAAAATATTTTTTCTTAAATGACAAGTTAGAATAAAAACTCCTCTCAACTGTTTTGTGTTACGATAAGTTTAAAGTGGATTACTAATAGTAAATTGTTAGTAAGTGGTATTTTTTAAAAGATAAAATAGCTGCTACTATGTTTAAACACTATTTTTCTTAACATGAAAAAACATTCAAGATATATTATATAATTTGTGTAATACAATATCTTGCCAAAGAAAATGGCTTAATTACCAGCAATTAACTATTTTATAAGTTTCTATTCACCATTGATACCATATTGCATATTAAAGGTAATGATGGTCATGTGGGGATGAGAGGGAAAGTTATTAGGCAAGGGCTTAATAAATACATACATAATGTCCTACCACTCACAAAAATAAATATTTAACCCACATTCTAGGAGTATGTATCCAGCAGATACATGGCTTTTTTTAATTGAATTTCTAAAAAATAAATAACAGTTGAGGAATACTACAAAGCTCACAGTTCAACTGATATGTTCTGAAGTGATTCCTACAGTGGTTTTGAAGTTTGACTTTTTCTAAGAGAAATTTTACAAAAAACAATACCTAACTATCACCTGCAGTAAATTCTCTCAGTGTGAGAGCACTGCACTCTAGATTGTTATTTTATTGAATTGTGATTGTTATGTGCAACAACATAGATTTTTTAGAATGTATAGCACTGCGGTAAAGTTTATCTTTTTCTCTTGGTTTCAATGACTGGACCAATCCCAATTCATTTGTTATTTTTGACAACACAATTTTCTCACTTTGGTGTTATTGTCCTGCTTTCTTGTGATCAGAGTATGATAAGATACTTTTAATTAATTTTGCAAAATTAAAATTTATTAAATATGTTCATTACATAGCAATACCATTTAGAAATGATGATCCAAACATTTATTTGGTAATTTTATTTTTAATAATTTAAAAAATATTGATAAAATTATAGAATTTATTACTGGCAATACTAGTTGTTAAATCTAAAAGAAAACATTCCCCTGAGTGCAAGAAAACAATTTGTTTTCAAAAACTCCCTTTTCTGTCAGTAGTGGGTGAAATGACTAACAAAGTAAAAAAACAATTAGCAGAGTCTATTACTTTGTGTTATCTTCAACTTTGGGGTAGTAAAGCTTTCATGGGAGAAAATAAACAATCCTGATGTCAATAAGTAAAAGTTGAAATGATTTTTAATGAGTTGAAACTTGATAAAATTATATTTTCTGTAATTTGATTTGTAAATGCAAAAACACTAAATAAAAATTCATTTTTTTTTAACCCAAGTATTTCGTACTGTTAGATAGTAGAGAAGGTGTAGAAATCAAAGATATAATTGTAGTCAAGCATATATAGGCTATCTGTAATGAAATATTTAATTTGCATTATGTATCCTTCAGATACGCATGTCCAAGGAGGAGTGCTGTGAAATGTATTGTAAAAATAAAAAGGTTATCTTAATAAACAAATTTTGAAGGGCTTTTCTTAACACAATGGTGTCAAGATCTATGGATTTAAAAGATTCTTTCATAAATTACATGTTTTTATATTTAAAATTTGTTTATAATTAACATTGTTTTTAGTGTTCTTAATGAATTTATATGAAGATTTCTGAATAATAATAAGATTCTCTTATATTATTTTAAACTAGATATTACTAAAGATATAAAGATAATTTTATGGAGTACATAATTTGTTGTTAAAAAATTTAAATTTTAGAATTTTTATTTAGTACTTAACTATTTTTTTCAGTGAGCCTCATTCAAGGTTTTATGCTGCCCAAATAGTTTTGGCATTTGAGTACTTACACTCACTTGATCTTATTTATAGAGATCTGAAACCAGAAAATCTCCTTATAGATCAGCAGGGTTACATAAAGGTAAATATTTTTTTAATAAAAAATTAAGACGTGACTTATGAAATATTTAATTTTCATTAATTTTTCAATTAAAAATTAGGTAACAGATTTTGGTTTTGCAAAAAGAGTAAAAGGGAGAACTTGGACATTATGCGGAACTCCAGAATATCTTGCTCCTGAAATTATTCTCAGCAAGGTAAAATTTAATTGATGATAAAACAATTTTAGCTATCGTGCTTTGGCAGATTTCTACTCCAAGAGCAGTAAAATGTTATTCTTTAAATGCTATTACGACAAAATTGCAATAAGAAAGTTACAAACTCTAATTTATGTAATGAATTAAATATTATAATATGTAATCTACATATGAAGATTTTTTTTGGAAAATTTTACTTGAAGTTTATATAATAAATAAAATATTATGAACACAAAATGCTATGCTGGACTGTGCCTTTTGGGAATTCAGGTCTCACTTTATTCATTGAGTGCTGGATTAAAGATTCTAAATTTGAAAAGAAAAAAGGAGTTAAAAAATAAACTTCTGTATTAGTAATCATAGTTATAAAAAAAAATAATTTTCTAATATTCCAAATTTAATGTCCAGTAATCTGGCACCCTCTAAAACATAGCCATAATTTGGAATTATCCAATAATAAACCAGCATACTAGCTAAACAGCATATTGAGTCAAAATTTATTAGGACATATTGTACACTAAAGACCCTTGACAGAAATGTCCACAGATATTTTGTATACATTATTTTTTCATGGTCACATGCTATTGGATAAAACTGATAACTAAAAATTGAAAAGTTGAATAATGTAATAATCTTCAAAAATAAAATTCATTATGCTGTTTATTATTTTATTGTTTGCCTGCTTTGAAAAATTACAATTTAATATAATTCAATGTACTTCCTTTGCTAATGGTTAGGTATTCAAGTATTCTAATATCCTAAGTATTCACTAAAGGAGTACTTAGGACAAAAAAATAAAGTATAATTTGTTATCTCTAGGATATTGATATAATAAAATTGTTAAGACTTTTATTAATTGAAATTTTTCAGGGTTACAACAAAGCTGTAGATTGGTGGGCTTTAGGTGTTTTAGTATATGAAATGGCTGCTGGTTATCCTCCTTTCTATGCAGAACAACCTATTCACATCTATGAGAAAATAGTATCTGGAAAGGTAAGTAAAGAGTCAAAGCGAAATTTGTGATTGTTATTTTGAATTGATGTTGATGTGGTTGTTAATAATTCTTTTCAGGTACGATTCCCTTCTCATTTTACCTCTGACCTCAAAGACTTACTGAGGAATCTCTTGCAAGTTGATTTAACTAAACGTTATGGTAATTTAAAAAACGGTGTAAGCGATATAAAAAATCATAAGTGGTATGCTTCCACTGATTGGATTGCCATCTTCCAAAAGAAGGTCTGTTAATAAATGTGTACATTTTAAAAATTCTTTTAAAAGTCATATAAAAATGGAATTTATACATATTTTATAAAATTTAATTTTCAGGTTGAAGCCCCATTCATTCCAAAATGTAAGGGTCCTGGGGATACAAGTAATTTTGATGATTATGAGGAAGAAGCTTTACACATATCATCAACAGAAAAATGTGCTAAAGAATTTGCTGAATTTTAGCACATGTCTTCAACTTTGGTCACCTATATAATTGGGATTTGTCTCCCATTTGTTGGGTTCTGACATCCCAACATATCCTGTCTATATCATAGATGGGAAAAGGGAACGTTGATTATATACCTTCCAGACAGATAGAAGTTGTACCCCTGTTAGGGGTTCCGATTGGACCTTAATTTTAGATGTTTCACTTGTGAAGTACTATTGTAAATTACTTGTGAAGCCAGCAGTTGTACAGTTTGGAAAAATATTGGACTGATAACCAGTTGTTTTAGTTGCTATATTTTGTTAGTGATGCTGTTTTTCTTTAGTCATTGTTATTGTTTTTAGAATTATTCATCTCTTATACATGTATTTTTTCCCCTCCCTTAAATGTTCAACAGAACTTTTTTGAACCAAGAAATATTGTGTCCATAATGGGGAGATCTCTGTCCAAAAGTCTAGCCAATAGTCCTGCAGTCTTTTGTATCCCAGTGAAAATTGTTTCATAAGCTAAATAGGGCTCCAGCCTTCTTCTACAACGACATCAGACAATGAATCATCAGGCTTCGGACGAAAAAAACAAAACGTTTTTAATTTCTGCGTAATATGTGTGTGTGGTCTAGATGTACGTATCAAAGGGAGCCAGTATTTCTTGCCTGATGTCTGATATATTTTTGACTGCTCCCTAGCATATGCAGAAATTGTCATTTCTCTACCCCATTCTCAATCATGCCTGAGAATGTCATCAAGTTTCATTGGGAGTATGACAGCTTTGTCAGTATTGTGAGTCATGTATAGAATTTGAATTAAAAAATAAAAAAAAACAGCATTTAAAAATAAAGGAAATGCTAACCAAATGCATTTTTATGCCAAGTTTTGAAGGATGCCATGTGCAATATATATACTTTCTGATATTCTTCAATTTTCATCTCATGAGGAAAAAAAAATGTATCACAAATAACAATTATGTGGCCTCAGAAATCTGAACCCAGATTGTGCTATTTACTTTCTTGGAACTAGTCCCAAAAATTAACAAAAGAAAAAAAATTACAAAAATAAAATACTAAAAAAAAATTTGTCTGTTTTTTCAGTGGTCCGAACTATATCTGGATCCTAGTGGTATAGTTTTACTCGTTCAGTCAGTCCATTGTAAATAGTTTTACACCATTCTTGTAGTCCAGATTTTTAAGGTGTTTCAAGATTTGATCATGAAAATGAATAGAATAAATTTTTCTATTGTTGCTTTTGTCGTCAAAATGCATTGCTTTATTTTCTCTGACTTTAATAACCCTCTGGTATTGGGCAGCTGTGTTAAGGTAGCCTGTGATTACTATTAAATTATTATTGGTCATCATGGTACTCCAATATATGTGATTGGTTGTCTCGTGCTTTGATAGGCTGATGCTTCCATTATGAAAATTCCTCTTTATAAATGTGAAATTAAACCAAAATTCAAATTTTTTCTTGTTTATTGGCTGGACACAACTCAATACGGACTGAAAGACCAAACCATATTTAAAACTTTCAGCCAACTAGATGAAGAAGCGAGAATTGCATTTCTTGTTACATGACAATGACAAGGCAATGTAGCACATGGTCAAGGAACTGAAATGTGTATCGATACTTGTCTCAATCACATTTCCTTTATGAAAACAGTGTGGTAGTTCTGTATGTCACAATGCCACGTTTCATTGTGTTTCAGTTGTATTAAAACTTGTTACATCCTTTCTGTAGTATGTTTCATGTTTATGTTTTAGGATTTAAAACAGATCATTAATAATGTTTCACTAAATTTAGTCACTCAGATTGAGAAGGCCACACAAAATATATATTTATATATACATACATAATAAAGATGATTTTTCTGTATATTACACAGAATTTACATTGTTATATTACTCTTGAGCAGAATTTCCATTCTTTCTATCAGAATAGTGCCTAATGAATTACTATATAAAAAATTTAATGTTTTGTTAAAATCATATTTTATTTAAAATTGACATAATCTACTTTAGCATTTTGTTTTTAATTATCTAATAGTGCCAAAAATACAATAAACAGATTTGATATATGTGCATTGCTATTCATCTATTGATTGTATTGGAGATGCTAATTTTAGATTCAACTCTGTGAAGGATCTAAAATTAGTATCCAATCCACAACTATTGTTTACAGGATTTTATACAAATAAATTCTAAGTCCAAATAATTTTGTTGATAGCTATTCCATCCATGTTTGAAAATATGTGGTATTGTAGATTTACAGTTTCATTGGTAGCTGTTGATATGGGGAAGTTGGCACTGTTACTATCACATTTAGCATGCCTTCTTTCCAGTCACTCCTATCTATCTGAACATCACTAAGTAAGATTTTTCTTTGATGGAATAGAGGGCTGCAGAAAATTTTGTACATCTCAAAACCTGGTGTAAACAGGAATCTGTATTCTGGAAGAGCATAAGTAAGCCTTACTATAAGACGTTTCACTAACTATATTGAAGACTGAATAAGTACAGTTTCAATATTAATATTAATATTAAATAATAATTGGTATGAGATTGTTATAATTAGTTATAATAATGTTAGTACGTCTTATTTAGACTGAATTACAAAGAAAGCCAGATCTTTTTCTGAGGAAAGTTTTCTTTCCAAAATGTTTATAACCTCTGTATTCTGAACATTTATATCCTAACTTTAATTAATTATTTCGAAATTATTAAAACTGATTCATACTTTAAGCTTTCTTTATATCCTTCAACAACATATTACAATTTCATTTCGATCTTACTTTCATTCTCATTAAAAGTGCATCATTTAAATCAATTAAAACAAAATCTAAATTAATAAGTAATGACATACAGGACGATTGAAAAGTCAGTTCACACTCGAGTTCATTTGCTGTGGATGAAATGACTAAATTATGAATCACAACGTGCAACCAACAGGTTTTAATTTCTTAGAAAAAGTAATATAAGTTGGTTAACTGACTTTGGTCCACCCTGTATATTTAGTTACGTTTAAGATTACAGTGTAAGTAAACAAAATAGAAAATTGTACAAAGAAACAACGTTTATAATCCATCCAAAATAGATTATAATACAAAAGATTCTTGTTTCATTTCACACTTCATTAGCAAAAGATTGTAGTGTTAAAACTGAATAATAATATAAAATTTTGATACATACATACATTTTATTATATAAGATTACAGATACTAATTAATTTTAATACAGGATGGTCTATAATAAAATATTTGTTAAGATTTCTTATTTTAGTGGATCGTATGTTGTTCACATGCATTGTAGGCCTACCTATTTATACACGCGCGCACAAACTAGACTAAGTATTTAATTAGACTAAGTACTGTCCATTTACGTTAGTGCATTTATCAGCATTAACCTTAGGTTATATTAAAAAATAAGTTAAATCTTAGCTTTACAATTATTTTGGATGTTTTATATTTTATTTATATTCCAAAATATTGCAGTAAAATGACTGAACAATTATAACTACGTCTGGCCAATTTTCGCTTTCTCTCCCTTTTAAAAATAAAATTCTAATATCAAAACTTATTACATTTATGCTTGTTAATGGAAACTGATTTAAAAAATTAATGTTTTCGATACTATAAATTCTGTACAGTAATCCAAAACACTAAAATTACATTGCATTCTCATATGCAAATGCGATTTAGGATCAAAGTAAAGTCGGATTTAGACATGAAGGGCAATCTATGATGTATAAGAAGCCTTTTCCCTCCAACTAATTAATACATTGAAGGGCGTGAGGTTCTGATTTTCAGCCTATTTTGTTTACATGTTAAGTCCGGCCCGGAGTCTACATCTAAATATTGATTTTTGTGCAAATCGTTTTGTTTACGTTAAGAATTTACCGGAAAAAATCATCTGAATTGCCCTTTATTATCTTATGCTTCAAAACTAAATATACATTATTAAACAATGTTTTCAATTAAATATTTTACGAATAATAACTGAGATACGTATTGAGAATAAGTTAACTGATTCTTGAGTCATCCTGTATAATAAAATGTTACTATAAATAAAGTGGAAGCGAACTGAACCACGAACAACTCGTAGTCCTTGCAAATCTTATTAATTAATAGAATGTCTTGTTAATCGATTTTTGTGCTATCTTGTATAGGCTATGAGATTTTTTTTAACCAATGTGAATAAATTAGAACGACGTTTAAAAGTAATAGTAATATGCAACATTCAAAATAGAAATTCCCTTAAATCATAATAGTGAAATGAAAAATGTTAATTAAAGTGATAGTATCGTCATATATGTATCACGTGGTACAAAATGGATCTTGGAAACAATTGCTTTAATAGTGAGTAGGAGATTTTAACAAAGGGACCTTTATTGGAGGCCTTTTAAAATTGTGGAATGTTATGGGTTTCTCAGTTTCATTTATTACTAATATTCCGTTCAACTTTCAAATAAAATATTGTTAGAAACTAAATAGTTTATATTATAAATCATCAAGAAAGTTAGTGTTTTTGTTCCTACCATAAAAGGCACGATGATTTTGAAAAATAGATAAGCAAACAATTCCAAACGTATCTTGTCCTTCATAATTGAGAGAATCCAGAAAATTATGTAATTAAATAATTAAGTTCTCCATCCGTTGAATGAAAACAAAACCTGACAAGCTGGCGACAAAAATGAGAGTCGGGAAATACGATTTGTGTTAAAAAGTTCAAGTTCCGGAATGACAAAGATGCTGACCAGTGGTGATACTCAGCGGGTTCGCATAGGTTCGGCCGAACCCGTTGTTAACATTTTCAAAGTTTTCAAAAATATATTAAAATATACGTATTATACTCTGTAACCAGAGCCGTAACTAGGCAGGTGCAACAGGTGCACCTGCACAGGGCCCACTTGGAAGGGGGCCCAAATTGCTGTTCACAAGAAATTATATTTTTAAATTTAAAATTTTTCCGCCTTTCTACAGCTCGGTTTGGCGATTACATTTCGCCTTACTTAGACCCTAGATGTCTGCTCACCAGTGTTCCCAACTGTAGCGACTTTTAGAGGGTCGTAGTGAGGTAGCGGAGACCTCAGACAAATCAACCAAAAGTAGCGACTTTTGATATTTTTTAGTTTATTTTTTGAGAAATTTAAATTTATGTTTATAGTTTTCAAATTTACAGTTTTTTCTCTATTTTATAGAGTTTTCTGGCAACTACTAATATTATTACGATATACAAAACTGTATTTCTAGATTTTTCTACAGTGTGCATAGCTAGAAATCTGTAAAGGTAATATTTTGTAACAAAAATAAATCTGTCAGAGGATTTTTTTAAAATTATTAAATTGAAACCGGTAACTCCCGAATAAAATCTTAGTCTCGAGGTTGTAAAAGGCATGCTGAAAATCTGACATCACTTTTTGCTTTATAGTGGTACGCATATGGTTTGCATACTGAACGGCGGATTAAGCGGTAAGCGAACTATGCGGGCGCATAGGGCTCCGAAGGGGCTCCTGCAGTATTTAAAATGCTACTGATAGAAAGGGATTGCGAAAACGCAGAAGATAGAAATAGTCCAGAAAAACGCTTCGACATATATAGATACATGAAAGTAATAAATGATATAGCTTTATGGCCAACAATATTAACAGATGCTATTATTGATCATATTCTTAAAACAAACCAAAAAGTATAGAAAAGGGATTTCTTAATAAACGAAAAAAAAAAAAGTTAAGATAATGGAAATAGATAAAACACCAGATGAAGGAAGTAACTTGACACCCGAAAAATTATTTAAAATACAAATTTACAGTGTTCTTGACACTCTATTGTGTCAAATAGATTGGCGTTATGAAAAAATGAAAACTATCTGTGACGATTTTTGCTTTCTCTGTGGCTCGTCTTTACAATACATGAGTGTTGCTGATTTAAAAAAATCGGCTGCAGATCTCGCTATTAAATATAGCAAAGATTTAAAAAAGTACGAATTCACAAGTGAAATTGAAAGTTTTAATTTTGAAGTAACGACTCTTATACAAAATATAGAAACTGCATCTCCGCTTAATATTCTACAGGCTCTTCATGATTTTGGTTTAATTGAGTCTTACCCAAATATCAATGTCGCTCTTCGAATATTTCTAACTCTTCCCGTTTCTATTGCTTCGTGCGAGAGAAGTTTTAGCAAGTTAAACTTAATAAAAAATTATTTAAGATCAACTATCGGACAAGAACGATTATCCAATATTTCTATTATTTCAATAGAATACAATATCGTTAAAAATATTAATTATGATGGTGTAATTAATGAATTTGCTGAAATGAAAGCCAGAAAAATTCAATTAAAATAAATCTTATTAAAAATCTATTGTAATGTATTTGTTTTATTATTTTCCCAAAACCAAATAAATTAAGGGGCCTAAATGCAAATTCTTGCACAGGGCACGGGAATGGCTAGTTACGGCTCTGTCTGTAACACTACTAAACTAGAGCTTTATACCCCGTTCGCCTTGGTGCGACCTCCCTCGACTGTTTCAATCGCGATCGACTCAAGAGAGTTCTTGAAACTAGATCCAGTTCATAAGAGATATCCCACAATCTCACGAGCACGAGAAAATACAAGATGGCTGCGGAACACGTGTCGGGTTATATAATAAGATACCCATATCATATGGGTATCTTAAGGTCAGTTTTTGCGCTAATGCACCATTTGAACGAAAAAAAATTAAGGAAACATTTTCTGT